AAAACATATGCGGAATAAGCGGACCATACGGACCAAAGCATTTTTTAGCTGTTAAAGATTGTAATTGAATAAGCCATTTTTTCTATCCCTCGACAAGGCGATGAAACAGGTTTCGCATGAGGTTTGCCCTGATCATTTTAGGGGACTTTGTAAATTACCAATAGTTGTCCAAATAAATACACGTAAATTATGATCACTAAGATGCTCGGTTTCGGACTAGACTTCACTGGCAAAAAGTGTAGTGATCTAAATCTCGTAAACAGAAATGTCATTGTCGACGAAGCAGCGGTCGTGTTTGTGTTTGAAACACAACTCTTATATCCATGCGACCTTTGCCACAGGATAAAGATATTCCGGCTGAAATTAAGCTGATGTGAGCGCCATCCATGAAGATAATAATAATATATGTAACGTTATTAACAATAACAATAACGATTGTTATACTAGTTTTCATGCTCATTTTCATATTTACTGTTATCGTTATCACCATTTACACTATCTTTATTTCAACAAGGGAAATGTGAGTGCGAATTCATTTCTCATGTAAGTTCATTTCAGTTGAAATCACTCAACCTTCCGAGGGTCATCCAAATCATATCGTAGTGTGTTAATCTTTTTAGTTATTGGCTCAAAGAGGAGGCATCAGCTGAATAACTCTCTTTCTTCATATCGAATCAGGTAATTATAGTTTAGACCGTTTTAAGTGATGTTTAACGTATTCAAAATGTATTTCGACTGACTCGATTACTCTTAACTACAGACACTAATGCAATAATGCAATTTTCAGGACAAGCAAAGAAGATATATATGGTTATTTTTTATGATGGAAACTCGAGCTTCAAGTTTTTCATTTGACCTCCAATTGAAGCGCATACGGAAATGTCATATTCAATGTTTTCTTGAGAGAATCATCTTTTGATGTTGTACAATATACATATGATACACCTTTTTAAAGCGTGATTTGTCGAGACATACCTGCTGACGACCAGTTTGGGTCAGTCGACATTTCGAAACTAGGGTCTTTCCGCGTTGCTTGATTAGTCGAAGCGGTTATTGATATCATTATTAACTTGGACTTTTAATTTATAAAAATCACAAATGTGAACCGCGGACTAATAAATGCATGTAAGAGTGACCTTGGCAGTGATAAACATTACTTGGGCAGTAGTGGAAATAAAGCCCGAGAAAAATTCAGGGCTAAACAGGAGTTTAATCTAAGATTCAGAGTAAGGCCTTGCTATTCTCCCAAACTTGTTTAATAGTAATAATGTTTTCTTTAGGTTCGCAGTTTTTCAGCAAATTTGTCAGTTCACTGATCTTCCATGCAGTAAGTGTGCTGTAAAGTTAACAAAAAAACTCGATACCCAACGTTTATAAGCATTTCACTCCATCTGTGCAGGTATTCTTTAATCGGTCAAACTTGTCATTTAATAATCGGGATTGAATAAGAAGTAAGAAATCGGTAAAGTCAACAGTCAACTGATCTGGAATGCATGTCACAAATTGTTATATTTGTAAGGACAAATTGATTTTGGTGGAAGTTCTAGATTTGATGCAATTTCTATTTGAGTTTCAGAAGAGTTAGGCAGATCTAAATCGGCGCGGTGACTATTCTCTCTAGCAAATCTCAAAAAACTGAACCAAAATCTCCTCTGAAGAGATAGCCGTTTCTGTAAGCACTGCGTAGAGTGAAGAGATTGATCGATGTGTTTTGAGATTTGCGCCGCAAAATTATGTCGAAGTAACGATTTCTTAACAAAGCCTTGGACCTTGGACCTTGGACCTTGGACCGTAAACAGAAATGTCATTGTCGACGAAGCAGCGGTCGTGTTTGTGTTTGAAACACAACTCTTATATCCATGCGACCTTTGCCACAGGATGAAGATATTCCGGCTGAAATTAAGCTGATGTGAGCGCCATCCATGATGATAATAATAATATACGTAACGTTATTAGCAATAACAATAACGATTGTTATACTAGTTTTTATGCTTATTTTCATATTTACTGTTATCGTTATCACCATTTACACTATCTTTATTTCAACAAGGGAAATGTGAGTGCAAATTCATTTCTTATGCAAGTTCATTTCAGTTGAAATCACTCAACCTTCCGAGGGTCATCCAAATCATATCGTAGTGTGTTAATTTTTTTAGTTATTGGCTCAAAGAGGAGGCATCAGCTGAATAACTCTCTTTCTTCATATCCAATCAGGTACTATAGTCTAAACCGTTTTAAGTGATGTTTCACGTATTCAAAATGTGTTTCGACTGATTTGATTACTCTTAACTACAGAAACTAATGCAATAATGCAATTTTCAGGGCAAGCAAAGCAGATATATAGATAGTTTTGATGATGGAAACTCGAGTATTAAGTTTTTCATTTGACCTCCAATTGAAGCGCATACGGAAATGTCATATTCAATGTTTTTTTGAGAGAATCATCTTTTGATGTTGTACAATATGCATATGATACACCTTTTTAAAGCGTGATTTGTCGAGACATACCTGCTGACGACCAGTTTGGGTCAGTCGACATTTCGAGATTAGGGTCTTTCCGCGTTGCTTGATCAGTCGAAGCGGTTATTGATATCATTATTAACTTGGACTTTTAATTTATAAAAATCACAAATGTGAACCGCGGACTAATAAATGCATGTAAGAGTGACCTTGGCAGTGATAAACATTACTTGGGCAGTAGCGGAAATAAAGCTCGAGAAAAATTCAGGGCTAAACAGGAGTTTAATCTAAGATTCAGAGTACGGCCTTGCTATTTTCCCAAACTTGTTTAATAGTAGTAATGTTTTCTTTAGGTTCGCAGTTTTTCAACAAATTTGTCAGTTCACTGATCTTCCATGCAGTAAGTGTGCTGTAAAGTTAACAAAAAAACTCGATACCCAACGTTTATAAGCGTTTCACTCCATCTGTGCAGGTATTCTTTAATCGGTCAAACTTGTCATTTAATAATCGGGATTGAATAAGAAGTAAGAAATCGGTAAAGTCAACAGTCACCTGATCTGGAATGCATGTCACAAATTGTTATATTTGTGAGGACAAATTGATTTTGGTGGAAGTTCTAGATTTGATGCAATTTCTATTTGAATTTCAGAAGAGTTAGGCAGATCTAAATCAGGGCGGTGACTATTCTCTCTAGAAAATCTCAAAAAACTGAACCAAAATCTCCTCTGAATAGATAGCCGTTTCTGTAAGCACTGCGTAGAGTGAAGAGATTGATCGATGTGTTTAGAGATTTGCGCCGCAAAATTATGTCGAAGTAACGATTTCTTAACAAAGCCTTGGACCTTGGACCTTGGACCGTAAACAGAAATGTCATTGTCGACGAAGCAGCGGTCGTGTTTGTGTTTGAAACACAACTCTTATATCGATGCGACCTTTGCCACAGGATGAGGATATTCCGGCTGAAATTAAGCTGGTGTGAGCGCCATCCATGAAGATAATAATAATATATGTAACGTTATTAACAATAACAATAACGATTGTTATACTAGTTTTCATGCTCATTTTCTTATTTACTGTTATCGTTATCACCATTTACACTATCTTTATTTCAACAAGGGAAATGTGAGTGCGAATTCATTTCTCATGCAGGTTCAATTCAGTTGAAATCACTCAACCTTCCGAGGGTCATCCAAATCATATCGTAGTGTGTTAATCTTTTTAGTTATTGGCTCGAAGAGGAGGCATCAGCTGAATAACTCTCTTTCTTCATATCCAATCAGGTAATTATAGTTCAAACCGTTTTAAGTGATGTTTAACGTATTCAAAATGTATTTCGACTAACTCGATTACTCTTAAATACAGAAACTAATGCAATAATGCAATTTTCAGGACAAGCAAAGCAGATATATAGATAGTTTTGATGATGGAAACTCGAGTATTAAGTTTTTCATTTGACCTCCAATTGAAGCGCATACGGAAATGTCATATTCAATGTTTTTTTGAGAGAATCATCTTTTGATGTTGTACAATATGCATATGATACACCTTTTTAAAGCGTGATTTGTCGAGACATACCTGCTGACGACCAGTTTGGGTCAGTCGACATTTCGAAATTAGGGTCTTTCCGCGTTGCTTGATCAGTCGAAGCGGTTATTGATATCATTATTAACTTGGACTTTTAATTTATAAAAATCACAAATGTGAACCGCGGACTAATAAATGCATGTAAGAGTGACCTTGGCAGTGATAAACATTACTTGGGCAGTAGTGGAAATAAAGCCCGAGAAAAATTCAGGGCTAAACAGGAGTTTAATCTAAGATTCAGAGTAAGGCCTTGCTATTTTCCCAAACTTGTTTAATAGTAGTAATGTTTTCTTTAGGTTCGCAGTTTTTCAGCAAATTTGTCAGTTCACTGATCTTTCATGCAGTAAGTGTACTGTAAAGTTAACAAAAAACTCGATACCCAACGTTTATAAGCGTTTCACTCCATCTGTGCAGGTATTCTTTAATCGGTCAAACTTGTCATTTAATAATCGGGATTGAATAAGAAGTAAGAAATCGGCAAAGTCAACAGTCACCCTGATCTGGAATGCATGTCACAAATTGTTATATTTGTGAGGACAAATTGATTTTGGTGGAAGTTCTAGATTTGATGCAATTTCTATTTGAATTTCAGAAGAGTTAGGCAGATCTAAATCAGCGCGGTGACTATTCTCTCTAACAAATCTCAAAAAACTGAACCAAAATCTCCTCTGAATAGATAGCCGTTTCTGTAAGCACTGCGTAGAGTGAAGAGATTGATCGATGTGTTTTGAGATTTGCGCCGCAAAATTATGTCGAAGTAACGATTTCTTAACAAAGCCTTGGACCTTGGACCTTGGACCGTAAACAGAAATGTCATTGTCGACGAAGCAGCGGTCGTGTTTGTGTTTGAAACACAACTCTTATATCCATGCGACTTTTGCCACAGGATAAAGATATTCCGCCACTTTTCTTTTGGACCGTGTATGCATTCCGAACACTATGATTGACAGCTGTCGGAAACACTACAATAGTTATTCATAAACCGTTTGTTCTGGAAAGTAGGCCAATGTAATCTTAAAATAACCTAACTCAGTCGGTTAGCAAAGCATTGCATAATGTCTTATTTTGGTAAGAACAATTTTGGCGAAAGTCCAGGATTTGACGCAGTTACGATTTGATTCACAGAAAGTCCGGCCGGTGAAGATAAACACTGTGAGTATTTCCTCTTGCAAAACTTATCAAAATCTGAATAGATAGCAAGTTTTACACTCAAAGCTGTAATTTAAAGCGAGGAATTGGGTCTATAGTGGTTGGCCTTGATTATAAACCCCTCGAAATAATTCTCTAAAGTTCTTAGCACACCACGATCCCAAAAGCCAAACCCCCGAGAAAAGCTTCTTTCCGCTTTTTTGGCTTGTTTTGGTTGTTCTACTTCCTATATGCGAGTGTTCACTTGATGTTACGGGGACGTCAACCATACCCCTTACAAGCCTTACTGATAACGATTTTCTAAGGACTAGAATTTAACAGCGGTAACTATTTGCTAAAGGTTAGTCTCCCTAGTTCAAGGATTCATCTAAAGATGAATTAAGAATTCGATACTACTGCTAACTTGGCTCAAAATTTAAGCACCCTGTGCTCGAACTTTTTGCAGCCAATCGCTCATCCGCTGGAAAGAAAAAAATAATATAAACAAAAGAATAAACAAATAGTACATTATTTAATGACGATTACCATTTTGCAGACTCGAGCACCTTCGGGATTGAATTTGCATTTGATTGAATAAGAAATCGGAAAAGTCAGTCACCTGATCAGGAATGCATGTCGTGATGTATTATGTTTCTAAGAACAAATTAGTGAGCGGAAGTTAGTTCCTAATTTGAAGCAGTTTCGATTTCATTTACAAAAAAGATCAAGTCACTCTTGATCAACAAGGTGAGTATTCTCTTTGTCAAATCTTTTGAAGTTCAACCGAATCTTTTTCCTGAGTCTAAAGCCGTTTGCAGCTGCTGCATAGAACAAAGTAAAGCGTTGTGCATTCACTTTGTAAGACAAAGTAAAGCGTTGTGCATTCACTTTGCCTTGCGTCGATGTATTTAGGGATTAGCACCGCGAAGTCAAGATGAGTACTGAGAGCAATTTTGTCATCTTGTGGAAGAATTACTTCACAACAATCACAGCGGCAAATCTAGTCACCGGCTGAGTTGTTTTCAGTTCAATTACCATACGATTTCTTGATCTTGGAAATAAAAAGCTACTTTCTATATGGATAACAATAGTTCTGTAAGAAATAGCGAACCCATCAGAGATGTGGTGTTTGAACCTCATGAAATGGTAGCAACTCGCTTAATTAGAGGGAGACTTTTACCGCTTTCACTAATGAGATTCAAGAGTCATCCAAAGTTTGTGTCAAACGCGGCTACTATATTCATATTTCGTTAGGTGTTGCATAAATAGCACGAGTCAGATAACTGTCGTCTGGTAACGATCATCACTAAGAAAACTAAAAGAAGAGCAGTCGAATTGAGAAAATGAATGTTCCTTTTTTCAGTAATCGCGCCGATACTAAAAGCATAGGGGAGTTAAAGATAATCTTCTTTATGTGATTGTTTGCGACCGTGTTTGAAGCGCAACCTGCTCTATAGAAATCTAATTACCACGAACACAAACCAGTCATTTAGTTTACCAAATTTTGGATGTTATACCTTGTTGAAATAAATGACAGGCTTGCACGGGTGTATGCGATTGGAGAGATGAACAAAATTAATAACATGGTGTGACATTTTTGGTTTGTGACGCTTTCACGGCAGTCTCCTTAGTTTGGTCAGATAAATTATATATGCTCAAAATTTGAGCATTATGCTTTGAGAGTCACCCCTGAAAGTATAGCATTATGCATAAAATTCTGCTCAACGTGATAACAACTTTTAAGAGAGCCTCAACTACCCCTCCCCCATTCCTACCACCAAAATCCCTACCACCATTCCTACCAAATTTCAGAATACGATATTTTACTGGATCAAACTCCTTAAGTGAACGCAAAAGAAGGAGGCCCACAGTTGAAATTGCTCAGAATTTATCTCTTGTTGAACTGTTACTTCAAGGGAATTTTTGAGAAGTTTAATCCTTAAGCCTGCATTATGCTCGATGCTGTGACTGTTTTATGGCCAAAATTATGCCGGCATAATTTATCCGATCCTACTCCATAGTTCCGTCACCCAGTACGTTCTGATGGCAAAGAGAAAACACAATGAACAATAAAAATAAATAAATAAATAAAAAATAGCTGGAAAGAAGAATACTCCAACAGACTTGTAGCTCTTTAATATAGCTTTCCATAGTCGACACAAAGGTTTCATTTCCTTACCTTTCAAATATTTTTGTCTCATCCTAAGCTCAATTCTTGAGGTTGAATCCCAAACTGAAGACGTCGTTACAAGGTAATTTCACCAGTTGACTTTTTCAAATGATTCCGTTGTCGTGTTTTAGAACGAAAGGCTTTCATAAGGCTATCATAAGGCTCTCGTTATGGATCTTGAGGTTTCTTTAGCTTGACTTCATATTTTTAATATTATGCAGGAATCGCTTCACAGAAGACGTGTCAATAGTTAAAAGGACATTTTTCATTCAAAGACTGCGTAAGTGGTGTTTTTTCTCCAATTTTGTTTTATGGTGATAACGTTTTCTCCAAGCTTATATTATCCCAACATTTTCATTAATTCATAGATCTTCCATGCACTTTTGAGTTATGAAAAAGCTTTGTACCCAGCGTTTAAAAAGCGACTCCATCTGTACCAAGATTCCTTATCGATCAAACTCTTCATGTGAGCCGTGACGTCTCTGCATGAGGCTCTCTTGCCTGCCCTTATTCAAACTGAATGCAATTGCTGGATCATGATAATATCACCTAGGTCATTTGTCACCTGTTATTCTGTTGACTCTGAAAGCGCACGCCCTATTTTCTGTTCTGTTGAGAGCTCAGATCAGTTCCTGTACCTTACTTCTCTCCTGTGATTGTGTTTTAGTCATGGGTTATCAAACGGCTGTGAATATATGAAGTAATATATTTGAACAGCGGATAAAGACGTGAATATGAAAGTGATCTTCGCAGTTATGAACACTACTTGAGCAGTAGTGAAAAGAAGGCCTGAAAAAAAAATTCAGACCTGTACGGGATGTGAACCTATGACCTCTGCGATACGGATGCAGTGCTCTACCAACTGAGCTAACAAGGCAACTAGGATATGGTTACTGTGTTGGTTCCAAATAAACCTGTGAAGTGGTGAATAAACGGCCGTGAATATATGAAATTCATAAATTTGAACTGCCCGTACAGGCCTGAATTTTTTTTCAGGCCTTCTTTTCACTACTACTCAAGAACCAATACAGCTCCCAGTTGGTTGGTTAGTTGGTATCGCAGAGGTCTTGGGTTCAAATCCCATATGGGCCTGAATTTTTTTCAGGCCTTCTTTTCACTATTGCTTAAGTAGTGTTCATAACTACGAAGATCGCTTTCATATTCATGGGTCATTGGAGTGTAAGCTCTGATATATACTGCATTTTAAGGCTGTTTCGATTATCATTTTCCAGATTTTGCGGACATATGTTGGTTTGTCCACTCAGTGTTGTTTTTTTAAAGCAAACATGCTGACAGAAGCAGGTCACAGCTCAGAAAGTGCTGCGAGTGAATACACAACAAACAGCTCACCTGCCGACGAGAACACACCGCTAGTGCGAGAGGATAATTCAAGAAGTCGCCAAGTCAGATGCTGTGAACATTTCAATTGTCGCCATTTCTTACTAATTGGCCTTTCTTTACTGTCTTTTGCTGAGTTGGTTTTGCTTATAAAAAGCACATTTCTGATTCCTCGCAAAGAGCATTTGAAAGCGACTGTTTCCTTGAATGTAGTAGAAATTGGAAATTGTTTTTTTTTCCTGGGAATCATTGTAAAATCCCCATCATTCGCCGGTTTCTTAACAGTTCTTAGAGATCTGTGTTTTCTGCCAAATTTTTGGACCCTGCTTTTATTTTTTCTACTCTATTTGATTGGTGGCTTAATAAATATCGACATTTATCGTGGATTGTACATGAATTGTACACAACATCGGAATGATGAAAAATGTTACAGATTTCAATTAGCCGTCGTTAAAAGTATTCTTGAAATATTGGATTTCTTTACAATGATGATATTAGTTGTATTTCTAAATCACACTAATCTTCGTTATACGATATCAGGTCGCGTGTGGGTGTATAGAATGCTTAAGGGAACTTTAGTTATGTTTTGTTTCCGCGTTTTCGTCCCCGTGGTCGTCAACATAACGAACACAAGTATTACTTTGATTGATGTCCCAGATAAAGACGCGGACACAATAAAGGCCCAAATCATTAACGAAATTTTGTTATTACCATTTTGCAAAAAAATCATTGAACTCCTTTGGCAAAAAATCTTCTTCGATGAAAAGTGTATCATTGGCAAGATAAGGAGAAACAGAGGTACACGCCAAATTACTTTCGTCGTTTAACTCAATTGTGATTTTCTGCATTTCTGTCAGGTTTATGAAAATGTAGGTTTGTAACACCTGTGGTAATTAGTTTGACAGAACATGTTTAATAAGTTTGTCTATGGAAAGTATTTCAGGAATGCATTGGTTTTCACTTAGACTACAAGGTGAGATTGAGACAGCTCGCACCACTATCTTAACCAATCAAGTGCAATTGTGTGTATTTGATATCTTACCAGGGTCAAAGCCGTCTGCAGCTTCGCCTCGAATTATAATTGAAAGTCAAGGTAATTGCGCCCTGACTCTTGATTGAATAGACACCGTTAAATACGACCTAGATCTTTAAAAGGGCTTCAACAGTCATATTTCATTTTTTTCCCACTGTTACATAGTCATGGTCTTATTCAGATCATAAATAATCATCAATGCAACTTAATTTATATTTTAGTTACTTAAGGTTTGATTTTCCTGCTTTTTGTCATATTTTGTTACGCTATTTATTGTTATCAATTTAAGGAAGTTTAGTTATCAAAATTTTTTCAGCCACGTTTGTGTCAAATGAGATAAATTATGTAGATAAACTGCTTAATTTGGTTATAGATTAGATGAGGTGATCTTCGCTCCTGCTGGGCGCATAAGGCGTCGACCACAGATCTACACCGGACCCTGCTTTTTATGATGTTTTCTTTGCCTCCAAACGAGTGTTGATCATGTTTAACATTTCTTTCTGGCAATTGAAGAGAGTTCCGGGAAGAAAAAGTAGTTACCTCTAGAATTGAAGTAATTTACCCTATATTGTAAAGTAAGTTTAAATAAACTGCTTAACCTTTCGTTAATTTTTGTTATTTTATTTGTCTGTATCCATTCCTTCCTCCATTATGTCTATATTTGGGTAGAGGGGGGGAGGGGAGAGGGTGGGCACATTGGAATGACTATTGCCGACGGGGACGATTGTTGTGACAGTTTTCTACTCAGTCGAACTTTTCCATGCAGTTATCTTTAATTACAAGCGACTACATTTTTATGAATACCGTCGGTGAATTACTCTACTTTCACATGAAAAATACGTGTGATCTGACGATCTGATATTTTTTTGGACAATCTTAATTGGATCCACGTGCCTTCTTGAACCAGGAAATGGCTAACCGTAAATATTTTAGTGGCAGAGCTTCAGGGCGCGGAATCCGCAGGTCTGATGTTCTATTTCTGAAACGCTCGTGAAATGACGATAATACATATTTCTAAGTGTGTTCTGTATGATTAAGAATTGATTAGTCTGGTTTGTTACTTCTTTGCACTGAATTAACCCTCTTCTACATTGAATTACCTGAAAACTGCATTTATCTTAACCAATCAGAGCTGAGTAATTTTTTCATGTATCTCATTTAACTATTAATAATGCAATTTAACGCTTTAAAATAAGGAAACCAAGACAACAGCTAAAGAAATCTGAAACCAAATTATGATTAAGAAATTAGAGCTGGAGCAATTTTGTGACGAGGAGTATTAAAAAAAACCCCATCAATTAAACCAGTTGAGCGTGGTATTATGACGTCATCTTTATCTAGCAATAGTCCCGGATGTACTATAGTTTCGATTCGATCATCGTGCAACACTCAGAGCAATCGACTAAAACGCAATTTGCTTTCACGGAAGCTTTGGGTAGGTGTTGAGCTTTGTTTATAACAAACTATTTCTATCAACGATACATAACATGAACAATAAAATATAAGTGATGATAAGAAATGAAAAGATCGCACAGAAATTCAACGCAGAAGAACTACTTCAGATAGCACAGCTAAGGCGGAAGAAATAAATCTCTTCTAAAGAAGTATACGGCTGCGCTCTTACGTATTATAAATACTTAGATGTTAATGGTTGTTTGTTACGGGTAGCCGAACGAAAAAGAAACAAATTATTGCAACATCTAACCATGAATCGCTAAATCAGAGCTCGGGCATGGATGGTCAATGAAAATTATGAGGCAGTACTCTCCAGAGTTTATAGGTCAGGCAGTTAATATAAAGCTTAGTGCAGTTTTTTTGACGCTGCAGAAATTCGTGAAAAGTGCTGACACTCAATTTGAGCTGCGGAGAACCTGCATGGAATCCGCAATCGAAAAATCTCACGCTAGCGTCTGCTTGCATCATGATTTGGTTTTAGTAGGCGGCCAACCGAAAAAATCGTTTGTCAAACAGAAAATGTTAATGAACTCGAATGACAGAAAATGGCGTTAGAGACTGATGCAAACTTTCCATAAATTTAGCAATACTCTTTCGTATATCTGTCTATCTACATATCGTGTTTTAGATTCAATCAAATTAATGCGGATTTTGAGGTAAAACACAACCCGTGACAAGTCCTCGACAAGCCAAGATTAGCTGGCAATGTCAGGATTAATCGGCATTGTCAGTCACCTGATCAGGAATGCTTGTCGTAATATGTTATATTTGTAAGAAGAAATTACTTGAGCGGAAGCTAGTTCCTGAGTTGGCACAGTTTTGATTTGATTTACAGAACGATCAGGTAGATCTTGAACAACGAGGTGAGATTCTCTTTAGCAAGTCTTTAAAAGTTCGACCAAATCTTTTCTGAATGTAAAGCCATTTCTGCATGATGCAGCCGCTGCTTAGGGTAAACTAAAGCGTTGGGCAAGCTTTCATTTACTTTGCCTTGATTCGATGTGAAAATTAAGATAAGTATAACGATTTCGTCCAAAAAACCTCATACTTCCAAGAAGGGAGAAAGAAAGGATAATCATGGAAAGAGTGGTGGTAGCGATCTCGTGGAAGAATTACTCCACAACAGTCACAGCCGCGAATCTAGTCACCGGCTGAATGGTTTTCAATTTCGATACGAATTCCAAGTTACTTTAAAGCTGGATAGCAGTAGTTCTGTAAGAAAGAGTGAAACCATCGGAGATATGCGGTGTTTGTGGCTCATAAAATGGTAACAACTTGCTTAAATTGAGGGAGAGTTTACTGCATTCAATAACCAGATTCAATGATGATCCAAATTTTAATTTGTATAAAACTCAGCTACTGAATTCATATTACGCTAGGTGTTGCTTAAATAGCACGAGTCACATACCTACCGCGCGTCTGATAACGATTGTCACTAGAAACACTGAAAGAAGAGCGGTCGATTTGAGAAAATGACAAGAGGAAGATAGATAAATTTAGTAATGATATACTATCCACACAAAAGGAAACGGGTCAAAAACGAGAATTGGCCATATTTTCAATAACAGTTGAAGTCCAGTGTCTCGGTACTGTTTCGCATTCGTATGACAAAAGCCCAGCCCAGCGTATCAACCTGGCTCAAAAATTTTGACATTAAAATAGTCAGTCGAAAAACCGCTAAAAAAAGTTGTATGATCCAGTAAATACTCCATCAATCAGTAGCATTTACTTCTACTAATAGTTCGTCTTCCACCCCTCCCGAAGTAATAACAGTCTACCTCCTCTCACCCCTCCCTAAGTACTGATTGACTGCATCCCACCATTCCCTGAGTACTAATGGTGTGTCCCCCCCAGATAAAGTGGTCCAAAAACATATTGAGTAAAAGAAAAAGTCAAAAAAATGATCCAAAAAAACGGTCCAAAAAAATAGTTAAAAAAAAATAGTCCAAGGGTCCAAAGGTCCAGTCCATATTTTATCCAATGACTGTAACGTTATAAACGATAATAAAATAATCGTTTTACTAGATTTTATGCTCATTTTCATTATTACTATTATCATTATCACAATTATTATTATCATTATCTTTATTTCAACAAGGGAGATGTGAGTGCAAATTCATTTCTTATGAAAAGCCCTAAAGAAATCTATAGTCAATCACTCCACCTTCCGAGGGTTGTCCAAATTATATCGTAGTGTGTTCTATTTTCAGCTATTGGCTCAAAGGGGAGGCATCAGCTGAATAACTCTCTTTCTTCATATCGAATCAGGTAATTATAGTCTAAACCGTTTTAGGTGCTGTTTTTTTAACGTATTCAAAATGTGTACCGACTAATTCGATAGCTCTCCACTACAAAAACTAATGCAATAATGCAATTTTCAGGACAAGCCAAGCATGACAAGCAGCTATATATAGTTTTGATAAAGGTGACTCGGGTTTCAACAGTTTTCCATATGACCTCCAATTCAAATGATTTTCATATATTCGCACTCGTTGATTCATCACTTCCCGAGTTTATTAAGAACCAACATAATGACCAGCTCTCAGTTGTATCGCAGATTAGGTAGGAGAACGATGAGGGTTGAAACTAAAAAATAAAAAATTAAAAGTAAAGGTGAAGAAAGACAGCCAACTTAAAATGACGATACTTACATTGTTACGATTACTCACAAACTGCATTTGACGAGAAAACACTGTCCGAAGACGAAAAGAATAACGTGAGTACTGTTCGAAAGCGAACTGCGACTAGCGTGACTACAGAGAAAAAAAAAAGGCCTCCTGAACAGAGAAAACTTAGTTTATATACGCAGGAAAAACTGAAATTAATGTATGCGAAACGACTACCTGAAAATGTAATCGACGCCAATAATAACGAATGAAACAATAATAAACGAAAGTATGCGATATGGAAAAGAAAATAAACTAAATAACCAGTGGAAAAAACACTAATTGAGACAACGTGAAACAGCAACAAAAATTTAGGGAACACCCGATAATTAACAATATACAACATTCCACGCGCTAAGATCTTACGCAGTCGAACCTGTATCAAGCGGCACCGTATTAAGCTGTCATTCTGTATTAAGCGGTGAGTAGTCAAAGTCCCGAAATTATTTTCTCTTAATCACTGTAATTTTCCCCTCTACTGAGCGGTCACCTCTATTAAGCGGTCACCCTTTATTGAGTCCCAGTAGTTGGTATTGTCCACCACCTGTATTGAAAGGCCACTGAAAGCGGAACCGCTCAAATAAACTAAAAATAATTTTTGTAGCGTGATTGAATCCTGATTTCTCTCCCGAAATCAATGATTATGTCAATAATATGTTTGGGCGAGTTTTTGTACACGAGTGGTTAATTATGGCATGAAATTCATCGTTTCTTATATTCCCCCTATTTTGTGGAGCCTGTGTGAGTCGGTCAACATGTATTTAGCGATAACCTCGTTTTTTTTCAGTGGGTGACCGCTTAATACAGGTTCGACTGTATCTTGCTATACTTCTTGCCGGCGCAGTATCACAGTTTCTCAAGAAATTTCCCCCTTATTCATCTTCATTATTCATTACTTAATTTTAAACACTTTTTAGAATAGGTTATTTCCACTCGAACATCATGCAATCAAACAAAGATCACAGCTCAAACATTGTGACAGCAGACGACCATCGAAACATCAGCACCCCAGATGAAACTACTCCACTGACTCAAAGCGGCAGAGAATTGAGTTCACCATACAAATACTGCCGATATTTCTCCCCTCGGTGTTTCGGTTTAATAGGCTACTTTCTCTTGCTCCTAGTTGAAGTGGTTACGTTTATTTTACGCATTAGTTACTTTTGGCTCACGGTGATTCCACTGTATTCTTGGAAAGTGAAATGTGCAAAGGACTTGACTCATGGTGGGCAAGCATCAAACGAAACATCTCCAGACTTCTACTTGTCTTTACCGATGACGAAGCTATTCAACCAAAGCTCAAGAGAAATGTTTCATGCATTTGATATCGCTTTTAAATCTATAGAAAACATTAAACTGCTGTATTTTTCTGTCAGTCATTGTGGGAACACTACGGTTTGTTAATTTCTCCAGAGTTCTGAAGAGGCTGATTTATATCGCAAAGTTTTGGACTCTGATACTTTTTCTTATACTTAATTTGTCATCTGACGTAATCAGTATAACTTTGGAAGTCTTAAAAGATGAGTGTAATGGTAAGCATGGTAATTTTACTAAGTTGAGCATTGCTGGAATTGTGATTGAAATGCTGAATGTTTGTACGATGATGATAGTAGTTCCAGTTCCGAACTAGGTTACGTGTTTAACTGCTTAACATATATTTTCTTGCCGAAGTGTTTGTGTTTTTTCTTTTTTGTTATCACAAACGGTACGTACTTCTGGATCGACCCGCTTCCACGAGAGAGACGAGAGACATACCTCAATGGCTGATACGATCCACCTGCAACCTAAGATTTCACCACGAGCATCTGTTGTTCATAGAGAGATTAAAAGTTGCAACTACCTTTGATTTTATGGGAACATTAAATTGCAGCCTTTTTGTGGTTGGATGCTCAAACGCAGTGTCAAAGAGCGAGAACTTCTTCATTTCCAGTCGCGGTAACAAGTCAAAAACAGAATCAGAGTTGCCACAAAATCAAAAGTGAAGCCTGTTTAGCGAAAAGCGCAGCTTTATATTGGCTCAAGCGGAATAGTCAAAGTTCAAGAATTTCTCTTTTTTATCTGTCGCGGTCAAAGAAAAAAAAATCGAAAATGCGCATTCAAGGGAGACTTTACCTTTTCTACCTGTTCTTTGCTCCGGCTGTCATCTATCTAACTTTCTGGAAAAATGAGAAATTTACCAGCCAAGTTCAGCTTAATTATCTTAAAACAAAGAGGCAAGGGCACCATCCGTTATATTTAGCCTATGATGTAATGAAGTATATTTGAGCAAACTTTTTCAGGGGAAGTCCCGGATTGGATTTAGTTTCGCTTTGATTTTCAACAGCTCAGGAAGAGCAAAGGCGACCTCATTAATGGTTCTCTTCGCTTCTTGGAAAATCATTTAATTTTCTGCAGATCAAGGCTTTTATTTAAACGAGACCAAGAGGTAAAGTGCAGCAATATAAAATATTCAGATTACTTATGCCTCAATAGAGCTGAAGTTCAATCAAACTGCAACCCAGACAACCAAAGCGGAAGGAATGGTATATCCGATTGGTACAGTCCTATTTCAGCTATTTCGCTCATATCATAGTCGCATGAATAGGAGTAGTTTATTGGATAATCAATACGAAATACTCATTTTGCTTAATTTTCATGACGTGACTCAGCGGTGGTATGATCAGGGGTTAAATCAAGAACTGAAACGAAGCGGGGTGAAGTTTCGTGCATGAGCACAAAGGCAAAATAAACAATTCAGTTTCTCCAAGCCAACAGACAGTAAGTAAGACGAAGCTTCGAAGAGGAATTCAGTCGTGTTGAAAACCTCCAAAGTACCGTAATATCCTCTCAGAACGAAAACCTCGGTGTACTTGGACGGTAGAAGCGTATCTCGAAGCTAAGATTGTAGTAAAGTTGAGCTAATATCGTCATGGAAAGGGATAAACAAAATGTAAAATCGTCAAATTAATAACCTAATTGTGAATTTAGTACTATTTATTATTAGTATTCATTTAATCATTTCTTGATTTCTTTGTTCTTTTTATCGTCTTCTAGAACTTCTCCGAACATATTGACTAAGCTGATTTGGGTTTATTCTCACTGCACAGCAATTAGATTTGGGTAAGTGCCAAGGGATATTTCAGTGACATATCGACATGTTTTGGCGTATCTCGGTTAATTACGATTCGAGTATTGTCTCTGTCATGGTCTACTGGGTAGCGTTTGAGATTAATGCGACCGTTTCAGTCAGGATTATCTGTAGTTTTCATTTTCGAAGGAGTTTCTGATGAATTGACTTTATCCACCCAGACCTAGATTCCCCAAGAACCATGAATGAGACGGAGGAGATGGCCTCGATGATATCAACTGAGGTGGAGTCAAACCGTCAACGAAAGTGCACTTGCTGCAAGCCCTCCCTCGGCCGGATGATTTTCATGATTATGTATTTATTGCTTTTGCTGGCTGAATTAGTGGTTACTTTCACTTTCATTTATTATTTTGGAAAATCAATATCGCCCGTTTTCACTTCGGAGAGTCACTTAAAAACCACGAATGTATCATCTAGCACCAAAAATGCCTCTCACGTATTTCCAATACAGCTTGTGCGCTACTTCGGCATGACAGAATCTTACTCCAGACTAATTATGGCCTTAAATTGTTTGGACACAGTGAACTGTTGGATCTTTCTTGGAGCAGTTTTCATATCTCCGCATTTCACCGGCTTCTGCCCTCTGATGAAAAATCTTATTCGTTTGCCGAAATTTTGGACCTTACTATTTGTATTTGTTCTCTATGTCACAGGGAATGTTATTGAGAGCACAAGTTCCTCAATCGTCGCATCCGTATACAAATTTAGAGCTATGGTAGCAGTTTGCTTTACGTTCTCCCTGAATGCGTTCTTTGTAACAATGATTCTTGGAGTTCTGAATGAAATGAAAATTTGCCATATGGCGCCGGGGCAAGTGCACTTAATATTTAAGGGGGCACTTATTATCTTCTGCTTTCGATTGCTTGTATACTTGATTAATACAATACTTTATTTGGCTGTAATCTTATATTTAATCGCTGGAGTGAAGGATAGCTATTGGCGGAAGGGAGGTACGTTTACAACCTGTGTAAGTAGTTTTCTTTTCTTGCCTTTTTACAAAAAAGGAACTGAACTTGTATGGACAAAAATATTTCATGATGACAAGTACATTATAGGGAAGATTAGAGGCCCTGAAAGATAAGACAGTGATGTAAATAGTACCATCCAGGCTGTTTAAAAATCATCGATAACTTTCTCTTTAGTCAGAAGAAGTAACTGTTTCTGTAGTTCTATACATTGTTGTAATCATACGGTCATGACATTTGATTATTAAAAAATCATGTTTTGCTAAGATAAAAAATGAAGCAAACTTTTCTCCATGCAAAATTAAAATTACACGCGAAAGAAGAAGCCTCTAAAATGTACCTCGCTGGCAACGTATTTCAGTCGGTTGTACCCAACTAGTATCTGAGAGTAGGGTTTCGAACCCCTTCGAAGCCTGAGTTTTTTTCAGGCTTAGCTTATTTTCACGTTTGCTTTCATGACAGCTAACCAGCGAGGATCATTGCTCTAACTGGTTTTTATTCGCAGATCAAATGAACAGTATTTTGTATGCAAGTCAAAGAAAACAATGCAAGGTTATGTAAGCATAGCAACATCAAAGTATAGTCTGTACCCCACTCCACCAGGTATCATCCCATTTTCTGCTGCTTGAAACGACGGAGATGATTTGTAATAGCTTTGAGTGAGGTACTGTCGAATGACTGGGAAGAAGCAAAAGAGACTCTCAATGAAATTAATTAAAAGTCTTCTCGATAAGTTTGCGAAAATCAATACAGAACATCATTATAATACGCGATTATCTGCAAAAGAATGCTTCTCTGTCAAATTCTCTAGAACTGAAAAAATGAAAAAAATCTTTTACTAGAATCGGTGTGTCTATTTGGAATTCTATTCCACTTTCTGTTAAGACTCTCAACGTTTCTAATTTTCGTAAAAAAATTAAATTACTACTCCTTAATGTTCTAGGTAATGAAGATAATTATTTGAATGTTAAGTTTTTAATAGAATATTTTGTGAAGTTAACCTGATATATTGTATATACCTCTAGTTATAATTTTAGTCTTTTTCAAATAACAAAATCCCTTGTACTTGAATTTATATGTAAGGTGTTTCTTTCTGTATGTTTTTGTATTTCTTCTTTTCTTTTTTCTTATGTCATTTAATAACGCCTTTAGTTAAAGTCTTGTCCTGCCTAGATTAGCATTGTAGCTATTTGCAGGACATGAAGTTTTGTAAACCTTATATTTCTTTAAATAAATACATGAAAATGAAAGCTGGTAATAAACATTTGTCAGCATTACGTGACACTGATAGGTCATTGATACGCTCGTTTCAATGTATTAAAATTCTAAGATGGCTCCGAGGCTGGAGGAGGGAAGGGGGAAACAAAAGAAATATATCATTCATCCCTCAACCTCGATGTGATTTCTTTTCTTTTATTCCCCTAAGCCTCGGAGCCAAGTTTTAATTTTAATATTTTTAAATTGGTTTACTGAACACTCATGCGCTTACTTATATTTTCTTCGCTGCGAGAATCATTTTTCCTCTCGTGGAAAACTCGGTCAGCGACAACAATAGAGACAACAGCCTAAATTCTTTCAAAAGGAGAAAGAACTATAAAAAAGGCAATACTCGTCCTTATATATTTGAAGTCGACGTAAGGTTCGTTATTCGAAAGAAGAACTTTTCGAGGAAGTCGAGGATATATTGGAGGATTTGTCTTTGAATAACGATTTGCGGTGATAAATGGTAAGTACTTTTTCTCCTGGGCGCTTAGTAAAGTTTAATTCTTCCACCGTCGAGGGCTTTCTTTGCACACACCGCAACGGCTTACTAAATATAACGATGGAAATTTTTCAAAGATTCTTTAGTACGCTTCAATTAAGCCACCTTAAAAAACCTAAGTAGATGGAGTGTTGATCTCCAAATTTTGGTAAAATTTTGAGATCTGTTCATGTGAGACGGCAGTTATACCTAGTTATCGAAATGTCGTCGGTCGCAAAAGCCGAAATCCTGATGGCCAGGCTGAAAAATGTTCGCATTTTAAAAAAGCCTTGAACATGGAAGAGAACCTCAGAAACGACAAAACGCAAGCTCGAAACTGAAATTCCTTGTGCTCGAAAATTCCTATTAAGTCATAGACTTTTTTTCAATTTAATATATCCCAGAATGCAAATATTAATGCCAATATTTAAATAATCGTCTTTCAATTTCACGTAAGAATTAACCTTCCACCGAGTTTCACGATAACTAAATGAAAAGTTGAGAGAGCAAATGGTCACCGTTTGGATGAATCTTTACATCGCATATTGAAAAATTTTTTTGTAGAAGGGAAAAACTCTCTAAACTATTCAGCAAAAGTTAATAGGTAGAAGAGAACAAGAGGATCAAGTTAGCTCAATTTATCAATTAATCAAGTTAGCTTAGTGGTTCGGATTCGAGCCCAGGCCGGGGTCATTGTGTTGTGTTCTTAGGCAAGACACTTTACTCTCACAGTGCTTCTCTTCACCCAGGTGTACAAATGGGTACCAGCAAATGTGCTGGGGGTAACCCTGCGGTGGACTAGCATCCCATCCAGGGGGGAGTAGCAATACTCCTAGCCGCTTCATGCTAAGGAAGATTGGAGAGATGAACAAAATTAGTAACATGGCGTTACGTTAAGATAATCTTCTTTATGCGATTATATACGATCGTGTTTGAGGCGCAACCTGCTCTATAGAAATCCACTTACCACGAACACAAACAAGTCATTTTGTCCACCAAATTTTGGATGTTATACCTTGTTTAAATAAATGACAGGCTTACACGGGTGGATGCGATTGGAGAGATTAACAAAATTAGTAACATGGCGTGAAATTTTTGGTTTGTGACGCTTTCACTGCAGTCTCTTTAGATTGGTCAGATAAATTATATATACTCGAAATTTGCCCAACGTAATAACAGCTTTTAAGAGACCCACAACTTCCCACCCCCATTATTACCACCAAAATCCCTACCACCATTCCTAACGAATTTCAGAACACAGAAAATATTTTCTTGGAATAGGATTTTTATGCTTTTTTTCCCCGATTATTAATGTTCTATTATTGTGATAATTGCTGATATATGTTAGTCACGGGTAGAGAGCGTTACATGACAATGCAAGATGCGTGACAGGCCTGGTTAAGGGGTGCGAGTATTGCAATGTATTGACCCCCCACCTTTTGTGGAGTCTAATACTCGTGACAGAATTCACAGAGTCATTCACTTCAGATTTCTTCGCAAGTGACACGTTTGTTTGAACCCCACCTTCTCCCCTTATTCCGGCCACATGTCTTTGTTTTAGCTCAAGTTGATAGTTGATTTTGTTGGCGTTGTTTCTCAGCCCTCACCTTTACTGGGCAAGCTATTTTTCCCAGATTCAAATATTTTGGGTAATAATTGATTCAGTTTTGATTACTGATTAAACCGGCTTTGGGCCTTTGCCCTCAGCCATTTTTACTCCAGATCAATGTGTTTGTGTGATTTTTATGTGCCCAGTAAACGAACCCGGGAGATGCAGCCCAGTATTTTGGTTACTTAGCAAGCTGGATAGGGGGAAAAAGCATAAAATATTTTACTGGATCAAATTCCTTAAGTGAAAGCAAAAGAAGGAGGCTCACCGTTGAAATTGTTCAGAATTTATCTCTCCTTGAAATGTTACATCAAGGGAATTTTTGAGAAGTTTAGTCCTTAAGCCCGCATTATGCTCGATGCTGTGACTGTATTACGGCCAAAATTATGCCGGTATAATTTATCTGATGCTACCCCTTAGTTCCGTCACGCAGTACGTTCTGATGGAAAAGAGAAAACACAACGCATGAAAAAAAAAAAAAAATAAATACATGAAAATAGCTGGAAAGAAGAACACTCCAACACTGCAGACTTGTAGCTCTTTAATATAGCTTTCCATATTCGACACAAAGGTTTCATTTCCTTACCTTTCAAATGTTTTTGTCTCATCCTAAGCTCAGTTACCGAGGTTGAATCCCAAACTGAAGACGTCGTTACATGGTAATTTCATCAGTGGATTTTTTCAAATGATTCCGTTGACGCGTTTTAAGAACGAAAGGCTTTCATAAGGCTATCATAAGGCTATCGTTATGGATCCTTAGGTTTCTTTAGCTTGACTTCAAAGTTATATATTTTTAATATTGTACAGGAATCGCTTCACAGAAGACGTGTCAATAGTTGAAAGGACATTTTTCATTCAAGGACTGCGTAAGTGGTGATTTTTCTCCAATTTTGTTTTATAGTGGTAATGTTTTCTCCAAGTTTGTAGTATCCTAACATTTTCATCAGTTCATAGATCTTCTGTGCACTTTTGAGTTACAAACAGCTTTGTACGCAGCGTGTGACAATCGACTCCATCTGTACTAATATTCTTTAATCAATCTACTTCTCATATGAGCCGTGACGTCTCCGCACAAGGCTTTCTTGCCTGCCCTTTTCCAAACTACATGCAGATTCTGGATCATGAGAATATCCCTGAGAGATAAAATGGACGCCCACCTATCATTCTGGTGACCATGAAAGCGCATGACCAATTTTCTGTTGTGTTTACATGGAACGTCGTGTTTCAGAACTCAGATCAGTTCCTTTACCTCACTTCTGCTCCCTCCTATGATTGTAGTTTTGTCTTAGGACAAAGATATATAATGACAATATATATATATATATATATATTTATTTATATATTTACTTTGTGTTGTTTCTTTTCAAGCAAACATGCTAACAGATGCAGGTCACAGCTCGGAAAATTCTGAATACACAGCAAACAGCTTCCCTGCCGATGAGGACACACCGCTAGTGGGCGAGGCCAATTCAAAAAGTCGCCAACACAGACTCTGTGAACAATTCAACTGTCGCCATTTCTTTCTTCGCCTTTTTTTATTGTTTTTCTTGACTGAAGCGGTTTTGCTCATAATAATCGTAAAACTTGCTCTCGTGAAATATTTTGGCAGAAACTCCACTAATACCCCTCAAGAAGACTTAGAAGAATTCCTCATGGAAACGAAAGTGATTATTTCCTTGAATGTAACAGAAATTGTGAATTGTTGTTTCTTCCTGTCGTCTGCCAAATTTTTGGACCCTGCTTTTATTTTTTCTAATCTATTTTTTGACTGGTGTCTCAACAATTATCCAAATTGCACACAGAGTTGATAGATTAGTCATTGTTCAGATGATTCTTGAAATCTTGGATTTCTTTTCTTTGATGATATTAGTTGTATTTTTAACTCACACTAAGCTTCGTCATACGATATCAGGTCGGGCCTACATCTTGTTAAAGGGAGCTTTGATTTTGTTTTGTTTTCGTTTTTTCCTCACGTTGGTCGGTAACACAATTCATGTGATTTATGCAAACGATAAGGACAAGAATATAAACATGCTTTTGTTGTTGCCTTTTGTAAAAAAAATCACTGAGCTCCTCTGGGGAAAAATCTTCTTTGATGAAAAGTGTATCATTGGTGAGTTGAGGAGAAATAGAGACACAAACCAAATTACTTTTGTCGTTTAAATCAATTGTCATTTACTACTTTTCTGTCTTTACAGGTTTATCTAAAGATAGGTTTGTCATCATTGAGCTTCCACCGGTAGTTAATTTTATTGGACTTCAACTTTAGATTGTGTGGCGGAAGTAATTCAGAAATGCATTGGTTTTTACCTAGACTCTGTGATTAAGACAGCTTGCGCCACATTCCTAACCAATCAAGTGCAACTTTATTTGAAACCTTATCAGTAACAATGCCGCATGCAAGGTGCTCTGTATATTACAATGGAAAGTAAAGATAACTGAGCCTCGACTCTAGATTGAACAGACACTATTGCATTAGACCTAAATCTTTCAAAGGGCTTCTATAGTCTTGTATAATTTTTCTTTTTTATTTTTCTACTGTAACACAGTCATGGTTTCATTCAAACCCTGACTGGTTCACAAAATAATCATCAAAGCATCTTAATTTACATTTTAACTACTTAAACTTTGATTTTCCACTTTTTTTCATATTCTTACTTCGTTAGTTACTGTTATCAATTTAACTTAGAAGTAGTTGATAAAGAATTAGTCCATGGTTAGCGTGCGTATAGCGAGTTAAGGATGCACGCGGGAAGTTTGTTGGACACGAAAAAAGCGTGAGAAAGTGTGAATAAAGTGCTTCACTTTTTGTTGACTTTTTCGTTTATGTGATTTGTTTTTTCTTCATTATTCTCTATGTCTTTCTGTATTTAGTGGAAGGAAGGGGGGTAGCACATTTTTCTACTCAGTCGACCTTGACTATAAAGTGGTCAGGCTAAAGTATGAGAAATTGTAACTTTTATTAGACCTCGAGATACACTATGGAAATGAGAACCTCTAATACTGAAAAGGTAAACAATTTTATCGCCTCTCTTCTCCCAAACCTTTCAGAAAAAAATAAAAATTCCAGAAAGTTGCAGTTTATGGCTGAAAATGGCATCCGACAATTAGGTCTCCCTAGGATTGGGCATTTTTCAGACAAGTTAAGGCCAGAACCCATGCACTGTGAGATCAATGCCTGGCAGCATTATATTGATCTCCTATACTTAGAGGCAGTAAGAATAAAAAAGTTTGATCCTTTTGTTTCTGCCCTGGCAGCACCTATAGGGAATAGAGATGGAGATGTTGAGGAGGGACAACCCCAAAAGACTCTTTTGAGGGTTTCTGATATAGACAGTGTTGTGGAGCCTGCTAGAAAGCAGGAAATGTTGCAGAAATCAGAGGAGGACCTAAAACAATACCTGCAAAAGACAGGTTTTCCTCATGTAAGGCATGCATCAGGCTTCAAGAGTAAAAGAACATTTTAGTGATGAAACTAACAGGTATAACAAGTTACCAGATAGGCTTATTGGCAATCAAGCTATTGCATTGGCTCGATATTACTATCGTTTAGTCGGCACTTTAGAGAGTGAATATGAAACAGAGGCACAAACGATACAACGACTGGCTCTTAGCAAGATAGGTGAGTATCTGAGGAATGCTGGGGGCTTTTTAATAGAATAGAGACCAATTCTGCTCAGGTTGCAGAACTGAAAGAAATGTGTAGTGTGTATTTTAACCTGATGGCTTTGTTTTTTTCATCCAGCGTTAATGTCACAACATGGACAATTGGATATGCCATTCCCTATCATGCAAATTTGCTGTTTACAAGATATAGGTTGGGCTATGGCATTGTCTCTTTGCAGGCTAAAGAGGCCAAACATTCTGGAGTGAAGGAAGATTTGACCTTAACTAAGTGGTCAAATGTAAATACTGCCACTGGTAAATGGTGGCAAGTAATGTGAAGTAATTATGTTCGCTCATTTTACCTCCCAGAACATCAACCAATGCCCTCTTCTTATACCTCACACTACCAATCACGTTCTCCACCACACTGTTACCAATCAAATGTTTGTAATTGTGGTAGAAATAAAGAAACGATTTGCTCAGTTGTCAAGTTTATTTGTTTAGTATTGACCTTGTGACTTGTGCAAGCAGCAGAGGTCAGACAGAATCAGTGTTGTGTGCACTAAAACCTGTTGTCTGTAAACAGTGCAATATTTGCTTTGCTGATAACCTATCATTGTTGTCTCATTTAAAGTTCTGCAATGCCACTGAGGTAAGAAGTGTAGCTATCAAGCCAACTTTGATGACAGTACCTAGTTTAAAGGAAGCTTTACGTAGTAGAGGATTAAGCACTGCAGGTACTAAGGAAATTCTAGTTAAGCACCTTGAAGGTGCATTGGCTGGGGAGGGGTTGTTGAATTATTTTTTAATCAACAGTTTAAATCTCCCAAAATATTTGATTTGAAAGTTATTTTTCTTGGTCAAGTTGGTGCACAATAAGGCATACTTGTTATGAGAATGATAACTAGGCTCTCAACAAATTTTGTGTACCAGTAATGTGAGTAATATACCTACTTCATAAGAAAAATATATTTATATTGGTGCAAAATTTTTTTGAATAAGCTATGTTTGTCAGAGGTTAAACCTGTCCAAATGCAAAAGTACCGTTGTCACCGATATCACTTGGTATGCACTGATATATTACATATAAAACTTTATAAACCCATTAATTTTTTTTACTGACTTGCATTTTAGAGGCAGGGTTTCTGCTCTAATGAATTTATGGAATTTTGTACTTAAGTGGTTTGACCACTTAAGAACAAGTCTCTGTAAGAATCAAACATCTTGGCAAATGAAAATTTTCAACCCCCCTTCGAATTTTGCATGCAGTTAGGCGCTCAGGGGGGATGCACAAAAATGCTCTTTTTTAAGGGCGCAGCACTCTTGTTACCATGGTAACAACGGCTGCTTGTTCGAGGCCTGGGGCTTCATTTTCATACAAAAACGTCGCAAAAAAAAGAGTGAAATGTTTATTTCTCTATCTCAAGCTAAATACAACATAACAAATTGGCACTTCTACCATACATAGTAACATCATTCATCTTGACATTGATACAGTCAATTTTCCCTGGGAGTGAAGTTGAACACACTAACAGATGATTCATTTCGGTACAGTTCCGGTCATCTTTGTTGTCGGGTAAACAGGGAAAACGTTTATCCATCGTGACATCGCCATCGTGACAACGTACATGTTTATGACAAATGACCGGTGTGAGGATAGTTTCGTGTAGATCAGCCGACCTAACATATTTCAAATGACATACAAGTATAACATTGTATCTTCAGAGAACTTCAGATCGCTCAAATTCCCATGGAAGAAGGTATAGCACTCGGAATCTGGATTATATGCACAAGATTTGAGGTATATGTTTGTAGTTACGTCGAGTAGTCCTCCATGAAGGTTGATCAATTTTTTTTTAAAAAGATGACAACCAGAGGCGAGATTTCTCTTCGGGATATTGCTCATAAGATGACATTCTTTCAAAGCTTTACATGTTTCATTTTTCTGAAACATTTGTTGTCGAGAACATTCGATGTAAACATAGCCAAATTATGCAATATCTGATTTTTGAGCTTCGTTCGCGAATTGCTCCTATGGAAAGTAGAGACAGGCCCGCAAAAACTAGAATATTATAGCCAGCTATGTGGTTAGTCTCAGTTCCAGAATCGGTGTACTTTTGGAGAGATTCAGATAAACGTTTTCCCTGTTTTACCCGACAACAAAGATGACCGGAACTGTACCGAAATGAATAATCTGTTAATGTGTTCAACTTCACTCCCGGGGAAAATTGACTGTATCAATGTCAAGATGAATGGTGTTACTATGTATGGTAGAAGTGCCAATTTGTAATGTTGTATTTAGCTTGAGATAGAGAAATAAACATTTCACTCTTTTTTTACGACGTTTTTGTATGAAAATGAGGCCCCAGGCCTCGAACAAGCAGCCGTTGTTACCATGGTAACAAGAGTGCTGCGCCCTTTAAAAAGAGCATTTTTGTGCATCCCCCTGAGCGCCTAACTGCATGCAAAATTTGAAGGGGGGTTGAAAATTTTCATTTGCCAAGATGTTTGATTCTTACAGAGACTTGTTCTTAACCCTTTACATGCTAACAACAGCATAAATATTCTCTATATTGTTCTCAATATATTTTACAAGGTGTTGACAAGGAGAATTTGCTTAAAAATCAAGAGCTTCATTAGTTAATAATTATTTCCCTCATTCTTGTTACCTTATGTTTAATTTGGGGTTAATATTGTAAGAGGAAATTAGATGCTAGACATTGTAAGGTGTCAAAGGGTCAATAACTAATGACCCTGCATTTTGCTTATGTTGACACAATACATTTGTTTTAGTAATGGTTTGTCTTAAATAAAAGGTACAAGAATTTGCAGCTTGATAGTTTTAAGAGTAAGATGAAGTATAAACAGATAAATGAAATTTGTATCTAAAAGGAGTAATTCTGTATACTGATAGGATAATTTCATGAATGAATCAGACATCGTTAGTCAAATAAAAAAGCTTTCAGTTGTTATGTTTAGGTAAAACCATACTTTTATTTATTTACTCCAATGTATTACAGTCTACAAGATACGAAGATTAAATTTTAAAATATCTGCTTGTATTAAAAACATGTTTCCTTCAGAACTTTGTTTCAGATTACATTCAGGGCTGTCATTCTTTTGATGTATGAAGTTTGGTGACAAGGTCTAACAAAACATTAGCAAGTCCTACTGTTAATTAATTAACTGTCAAGCTAGATAGTTTTCAAATTCAATAGCTTTTCCAAATTTGAGTCCTTTGCAAATCCTTCTCGATCATAGCGCTGCACGCAAAATATGGTTACTACCCTTTGTTGTTTTGTTGAATAAACCATTTGAAGCGGCGTAGTTTGTATAACAACAACAATTGACTTGCCGCTATAACTTTGAAGCACGCGACCATCCTCGAGGATTTTCTCGAAGTGCCGCTTCTTGAGAAAATTCTCTCCTTGAAACCTCGCGGGAGACCAAATTTTTTCTGCAGTGTCGAGCCTTTGGAAAGTTAGCGTTATTCTCTCACCACTCTTTGTTGTGTCCGCGCTTTCCCGTCGCCTTATACTAAAACCCAGATATGTTTAAAGATTTGAAATGGCATAAAGAGAGTGATGGGCGCCATAAGACCGGTCATTCTAGAGCGAGCGAGCTTCGCGTTAATAGAGAGCCAAATCTCCTTAAGGAAGCCATCCACCAGGGGACCTACAAGCTCCAGCTTGTTGCCTGTGAGTTCTTCCAACACGGGAGCAAGGTCTCTCATCCCGTAATTAGGCTTATTTTCTGCGAAACGAACCCTCCTCAACCATTCTTTCCCAGTAGAGAACTTCATCTCTACGGAGCTGGTATTCCAAAACCGGTCTCCTCTCTCTGTCTCATCCTCCATGCCTTAGTGCCCTAAACAGAGTTTGTTTGATGTGCTCGCGCTGTCATTATTTGTCGCCATTTTTGAATAGGCCTTTACTTTTCGTGCTAACTGCCGCTGACGATTTCTGCGCCAGCGCGCATCAGAGTTGCGGGAGGAAAACCCTTGGCAACCGACCATCGTGCATATGATGTAATGAACTATATTTGAGCAAACGTTTTCGGAGGAAGTCCCGGATTGGATTTAGTTTCGCTTTGATTTCTAGAACAGCTCAGGAAGAGCAAAGGCGACCTCATTAATGGTTCTCTTCGCATCTTAGAATATCATTGAATTTTCTGCGGATGAAGGCTTTTATTTGAACAAGACCAAGAGGTAAAGTGCGGCGATAGAAAATATTCAGATTACTTATGCCTCAATAGAGCCGAAGTTCAATCAAACTGCAACCCAGACAACCAAAGCGGAAGGAATGGGATATCCGATTGGTACAGTTCTATTTCAGCTATTTCGCTCCTACCATAGTCGCATGAATAAGTATAGTTTGTTGGATAATCATCACGGAATACTCATTTTGTTTCATTTTCATGACGTGAATCAGCGGCTTTATGATCAGTGCGGCGATAGAAAATATTCAGATTACTTATGCCTAAATAGAACTGAAATTCAATCAAACTGCAACCCAGACAACCAGAGCGGAAGAAATGATATATCCGATTGGTACAGTTTTATTTCAGCTATTTCACTCATATCATAGTCGCATGAATAAGAGTAGTTTATGGGATAATCAGTACGAAATACTCATTTTGTTTCATTTTCTGACGTTAAAATCAAGAACTGAAACGAAGCGGAGTGAATTTTCGTGACATGAGCACAACGGCAAAATAGACCGCTCAGTTTCTCCAGGCCAACAGACAGTAAGTAAGATGAAGCTTCGAAGAGGAATTCAGTCGTACCGTAATATTCTCTCAGAACGAAAACCTCGGTGTATTTGGACGGTAGAAGCGTGTCTCGAAGCTAAGATTGTAGTGAAGTTGAGCTAATATCGTCGTGGAAAGGGATAAACAAAATATAAAATCGTCAAATCAATAGCCTAATTGTGAACTTAGTACTACCTTTTCAGTTAGTCATTTCTTGATTTCTTTGTTCTTTTTATCGTCTTCTAGAAATCTTCCGAACATATTGACCAAGCTGATTTGGGTTTATTCTCACTGCACAGCAATTAGATTTGGGTAAGTGCCAAGGGGTATCTCAGTGACATATTGACAAGTTTTGGCGTATCTCAGTTAATTACGATTCGAGTATTGTCTCTGTCATGGTCTACTGGGTAGCGTTTGAGATTAATGTGACCGTTTCAGTCAGGATTGTCAGTATTTTTCATTTTCGAAGGAGTTTCTGATGAATTGACCTTATTCACCCTGACCTAGATTCCCCAAGAACCATGAATGAGACGGAGGAGATGGCCTCGATGATATCAACTGAGATGGAACCAAACCGTCAACGAAAGTGCACTTGCTGCAAGCCCTCCCTCGGCCGGATGATTTCCATGATTATGTATTTATTGCTTTTGCTGGCTGAATTAGTGGCTACTTTCACTTTCATTTATTATTTTGGAAAATCAGTATCGCCCGTTTTCACTTCGGAGAGTCACTTAAAAACCACGAATGTATCATCTAGCACCAAAAATGCCTCTCGCGTATTTCCAATGCAGCTTGTGCGCTACTTCGGCATGACAGAATCTTACTCCAGACTGATTATGGCCTTAAATTGTTTGGACACAGTGAACTGTTGGATCTTTCTTGGAGCAGTTTTCATATCTCCGCATTTCACCGGCTTCTGCCCTCTGATGAAAAATCTTATTCGTTTGCCGAAATTTTGGACCTTACTATTTGTATTTGTGCTCTTTGTCACAGGGAATGTTATTGAGAGCACAAGTTCCTCAATCGTCGCATCCGTATACAAATTTAGAGCTATGGTAGCAGTTTGCGTTACGTTCTCCCTGAATGCGTTCTTTGTAACAATGATTCTTGGAGTTCTGAATGAAATGAAAATTTGCCATATGGCGCCGGGGCAAGTGCACTTAATATTTAAGGGGGCACTTATTATCTTCTGCTTTCGATTGCTTGTATATTTGATTAATACAATACTTTATTTAGCTGTAATCTTATATTTAATCGCTGGAGTGAAGGATAGCTATTGGCGGAAGGGAGGTACGTTTACAACCTGTGTAAGTAGTTTTCTTTTCTTGCCTTTTTACAAAAAAGGAACTGAACTTGTATGGACAAAAATATTTCATGATGACAAGTACATCATAGGGAAGATTAGAGGCCCTGAGAGACAAGACAGAGATTTAAATAGTACCATCCAGGCTGTTTAAAAATCATCGATAACTTTCTCTTTAGTCAGAAGAAGTAACTGTTTCTGTAGTTCTACACATTGTTGTAATCATACAGTCATAACATTTGATTATTAAAAAATCATGTTTTGCTAAATTTTTGATAAAAAAAGAAGCAAACTTTTATCCATGCAAAATTAAAATTACACGCAAAAGAAGAAGCCTCTCAAATGTACCTCGCTGGCAACGTATTTCAGTCGGTTGTGCCTAAGTAGTATCTAAGAGTAGAGTTTCGAATCCCTTCGAAGCCTGAGTTTTTTTTCAGGCTTAGCTTCTTTTCACATCTGCTTTCATTATAGCTAATAAGCGAGGATCATCGCTCTAACTGGTTTTTATTTGCAGGTCAAATGAACAGCATTTTGTATGGAAGTCAAAAAAGACAATGCAAGGTTATGTAAGCATAGTAACATCAAAGTATAGTCTGTGCAAGTGTTAAATACCGTGTACCCCACTCTACCAGGTATTCCCTTTTCTGCTGCTTGAAACGACTATGATTTGTAACAGCTTTGAGTGAGATACAGTCGAATGAATGGGAAGAAGCAAAAGAGCCTCTCAGTGAAAGCTGGCAATAAATATTTGTCAGCATTGCGTGACACTGAAAGGTCATTCATAGGCTCCTTTGAATGTATTAAAATTCTAACATGGCTCCGATTCATCCCTCAACCTCGATATGATTTCTTTTGTTTTATTCCCCCAAGCCTCGGAGCCAAGTTTGAATTTTAATATTTTTAAATTGGCTAACTGAACACTCATGCGCTTACTGATATTTTCTTCGCTGCGAGAATCATTTTCCTTTCGTGGAAAAGTCGGTCAGCGACAACAATGGAGACAACAGCCTAAATTCTTGTAAAAGGAGAACGAACTATAAAAAAGGCAATACTCGTCTTTATATATTTGATGTCAACGTACATTGTCTTTGAATAACGATTTGCGGTGATAATTGGTAAGTACTATTTCTCCTGGGCGCTTAGTAAAGTTTAATACTTCCGCCGTCAAGGGCTTTCTTTGCACTCACCGCAACGGCTTACTAAATATAACGATGGAAATTTTTTAAAGATTCTTTAGTACGCTTCAATTCAGCCACCTTAGAAAACCTAAGTAGATGGAGTGTTCATCTCCAAATTTTGGTAAAATTTTGAGATCTGTTCATGTGAGACGGCTGTTATGCCTAGTTATCGAAATGTCGTCGGTCGCAAAAGCCGAAATCCTGATGGCCAGGCTGAAAAATGTTCGCATTTTAAAAAGGCCTTAAACATAGAAGAGAACCTCAGAAACGGCAAAACGCAAGCTCGAAACTGAAATTCCTTGTGCTCGAAAATTCCTGTTAGGTCATAGACTTTTTTTAAACTTTATATAACCAGGAATGCAAATATTAATGCCAATATTTAAATAATCGTCTTTCAATTTCACGTAAGAATTAACCTTCCACCGAGTTTCACGATAACTAAATGAAAAGTTAAGGTAGCAAATGGTCACCGTTTGGATGAATCTTTACATTCGTAGAAGAGAAAAACTCTCTAATACTGCTCAGGTTGCAGAACCGAAAGAAATGTGTACTATGTATTTTAACCTGATGTCTTAGTTTTTTTCATCCAGTGTTAATGTCACAACATGGACAATTGGATATGCCATTCCCTATCATGCAAATTTGCTGTTTACAAGGTATAGGGTGGGCTACGGGATTGTTTCTTTGCAGGCTAAAGAAGCCAAACATTCTGGAGTGAAGGAAGATTTGACCTTAACTAACCGGTCAAATGTAAGTACTGCCACTGGTAAATGGTGGCAAGTGATGTGAAGTAATTATGTTCGCTCATTTTACCTCCCAGAACATAAACCAATGCCCTCTTCTTATACCTCACACTACCAATCACGTTCTCCACCACACTATTACCAATCAAATGTTTGTAATTGTGGTAGAAATAAAGAAAACGATTTGCTCAGTTGTCAAGTTTGTTTGTCTAGTATTGACCTAGTGACTTGTGCAAGCAGCAGAGGTCTGACAGAATCAGTGTTGTGTGCTCTAAAACCTGTTGTCTGTAAACAGTGCAATACTTGCTTTGCTGATAACCTATCATTGTTGTCTCATTTAAAGTTCTGCAATGCCACTGAGGTAAGAAGTGTAGCTATCAAGCCAACTTTGATGACAGTACCTAGTTTAAAGGAAGCTTTACGTAGTAGAGGATTAAGGACTGCAGATACTAAGGAAATTCTAGTTAAGCGCCTTAAAGGTGCATTGGCTGGGGAGGGGTAGTTGAATTATTTTTTAATCAACAGTTTAAATCTCCCAAAATATTTGATTTGAAAGTTATTTTTCTTGGTCAAGTTGGTGCACAATAAGGCATACTTGTTATGAGAAAGATAACTAGGCTCTCAACAAATTCTGTGTACCAGTGATGTGAATAATATACCTACTTCATAAGAAAAATATATTCAAATTGGTGCAAAATTTTTTTAAATTAGCTATGTTTGTCAGAGGTTAAACCTGTCCAAATGCAAAAGTACTGTTGTCACTGATATCACTTGGTATGCACTGATATATTACATATAAAACTTTATAAACCCATTATTTTTTTTACTGACTTGCATTTTAGAGGCAGGGTTTCTGCTCTAATGAGTTTATGGAATTTTGTACTTAAAGGTTTGACCACTTAACCCTTTACATGCTAACAACAGCATGAATATTCTCTATACTGTTCACAATATATTTTACAAGGTGTTGACAAGGAGAATTTGCTTAAAAATCAAGAGCTTCATTAGTTAATAATTATTTCCCTCATTCTTGTTACCTTATGTTTAATTTGGGGTTAATATTGTAAGAGGAAATTAGATGCTAGACATTGTAAGGGGTCAAAGGGTCAATAACTAATGACTCAGCATTTTGCTTATGTTGACACAATACATTTGTTTTAGTAATGGTTTGTCTTAAATAAAAGGTACAAGAATTTGCAGCTTGATAGTTTTAAGAGTAAGATGAAGTATACACAGATCAATGAAATTTGTATCTAAAAGGAGTAATTCTGTATACTGATAGGATAATTTCATAAATGGATCAGACATCATTGTTAGTCAAATAAAAAAGCTTTCAGTTGTTATGTTTAGGTAAAACCATACTTTTATTTATTTACTCCAATGTATTACAGTCTACAAGATACGAAGATTAAATTTTAAAATATCTGCTTGTATTAAAAACATGTTTCCTTCAGAACTTTGTTTCAGATTACATTCAGGGTTGTCATTCTTTTGATGTATGAAGTTTGGTGACAAGGTCTAACAAAACATTAGCAAGTCCTACTGTTAATTAACTGTCAAGCTAGATAGTGTTCAAATTCAATAGCTTTTGCAAATTTGAGTCCTTTGCGAATCCTTCTCGACCATAGCACTGCACGCAAAATATGGTTACTACCCTTTGTTGTTTTGTTGAATAAACCATTTGAAGCGGCGTAGTTTGTGTAACAATAACAATTGACTTGCCGCTATAACTTTGAAGCACACGACTATCCTCGGGGATTTTCTCGAAGTGCCGCTTCTTGAGAAAATTCTCTCCTTGAAACCTCGCGGGAGACCAAATTTTTTCTGCAGTGTCGAGCCTTTGGCGTTATTCTCTCACCATTCTTGGTTGTGTCCGCGCTTCCCCCGTAGCCTTATACTAAAACCCAGATATGTTTAAAGATTTGAAATGGCATAAAGAGAGTGATGGGCGCCATAAGACCGGTCATTCTAGAGCGAGCGAGCTTCGTATTAATAGAGAGCCCAATCTCCTTAAGGAAGCCATCCACCAGGGGACCTACAAGCTCCAGCTTGTTGCCTGTGAGTTCTTCCAACACGGGATCAAGGTCTCTCATCACGTAATTAGGCTTATTTTCTGCGAAACGAACCCTCCTCAACCATTCTTTCCCAGTAGAGAACTTCATCTCTACGGAGCTGGTATTCCAAAACCGGTCTCCTCTCTCTGTCTCATCCTCCATGCCTTAGTGCCCTAAACAGAGTTTGTTTGATGTGCTCGCGCTGTCATTATTTACCGCCATTTTTGAATAGGCCTTTACTTTTCGTGCTAACTGCCGCTGACGATTTCTGCGCCAGCGCGCATCAGAGTTGCGGGAGGAAAACCCTTGGCAACCGACCATCGTGCATATGATGTATTGAACTATATTTGAGCAAACGTTTTCGGAGGAAGTCCCGGATTGGATTTAGTTACGCTTTGATTTCCAGAACAGCTCAGGAAGAGCAAAGGCGACCTCATTAATGGTTCTCTTCGCATCTTAGAATATCATTGAATTTTCTGCGGATGAAGGCCTTTATTTGAACAAGACCAAGAGTTAAAGTGCGGCGATAGAAAATATTCAGATTACTTATGCCTCAATAGAGCCGAAGTTCAATCAAACTGCAACCCAGACAACCAAAGCGGAAGGAATGGTATATCCGATTGGTACAGTTCTATTTCAGCTATTTCGCTCCTACCATAGTCGCATGAATAAGTATAGTTTGTTGGATAATCATCACGGAATACTCATTTTGTTTCATTTTCATGACGTGAATCAGCGGCTTTATGATCAGTGCGGCGATAGAAAATATTCAGATTACTTATGCCTAAATAGAACTGAAATTCAATCAAACTGCAACCCAGACAACCAGAGCGGAAGAAATGATATATCCGATTGGTACAGTTTTATTTCAGCTATTTCACTCATATCATAGTCGCATGAATAAGAGTAGTTTATGGGATAATCAAGTACGAAATACTCATTTTGTTTCATTTTTCTGACGTTAAAATCAAGAACTGAAACGAAGCGGGTGAATTTTCGTGACATGAGCACAACGGCAAAATAAACAATTCAGTTTCTCCAGGCCAACAGACAGTAAGTAAGATGAAGCTTCGAAGAGGAATTCAGTCGTTGAAAACCGTAATATCCTCTCAGAACGAAAACCTCGGTGTACTTGGATGGTAGAAGCATGTCTCGAAGCTAAGATTGTAGTAAAGTTGA